ATGATGATGATGGTGGTGGTGGTGGTGGTGGGCAGCACGAACATTTTCGGCTCTTAAATGTGGCAGAAGCGGGCGCTAGCTATAAAAAGGCTGAAAAGCAGTGAACTATAGTGAGGTCAAAAATTCGTGGCGCAACTTATTGGCAAATATCTCCTCAAATATCGAACTTTAAACTCTCCAGCTTTTGCACAGTGACTTGTATCAATTTGTCTTAACAGATCAATATTTTTGTAAAGACCTGTAGGCTCTATTCTAGAAAATTCCTTAATAGATACTAATTTAAAAATCCTACGGGGGTAGGGGGGTGGTTCTACTGATTTTAAATGGTTTACAGCTGGGACAATACCGCTTTTAAAAGCAAGTCCGTCATTATTTTCTAATCCCGAGATTATCTTCATTGAACGCATGTTTTGATAAATTTTAGGGCAAAAATGTGTTCACTATAAAATTAATTACTTACAACTAGTTTTGCCACTAAAAAGTGTCATTGATGAACTGTGATGTAAATCATCATACGCGTATACAAAATGTGTGTGAGAAGCGGGAAGTGCTGTGAGCAATTCTATTATCCGCGTGAAGGAGGTTTGTAGCATTTTATATTAATTTATGATGAAAAGCTTTTTAGTCTAGCCTAAATTGTTGAGAAAAAGTGTGATTAAGGTAAGACAAATTGAGACGAACTGCTGTGCATAGTATGGGTGACATTGAGTCTCCCGTTATAAAGATATTTGAGGATAATTTGCGGCACGAATTGTGAGGCAGCGTGATGGAATCAGGCTCTCGTCAAAATAATCAAACTGAAAAAACTTTTTTCTGCAGGTTTGTTTATTTTTAACACATTTTTTATGGGCTCAACACCTTTCATGCCCATTAAAGAACTCATTTCTGTGTGGAATTTTCTGAAAAACGTTGATTAAAGGAACAAAAAATGTAAATTTTCAGTTGACCTGACTCTTAAGCTAAGGAAATAACGAATCTTTGGCGGCCATTTTCTCACTAATTTTACCTCTGAAAACAGGTGACCCCCACCTCCTTAATTTGCAACTATCTCGACTTGTATTCAAGATAAAATGGATATTTTTTTCACCCAAATAAAGACAAGTGAACAAGCTTTGAGAGGATACGAATAACTCTACATGCCCAGAAATTGACGAGAGCCTGATTCCACCACGATGCCTCACAATTGTTGACCACACCGTAGGTTGTTAGCCAGGCAGGGTGTGTTGATCCTGCTTGACAGGAGTACAACATCCCACCAAACAGACGGAGATACTTGGTAGAGAACTTCCTCACAGGAGGATCGAACTCACGCCTTCTGCGTGCAACGACGAAGACTTTGACAGTTGCCACAAAGACGTAGGCAATGATACACAAACAAATAAATGCACCAATGGAAAGAAAAATAGGGGGGTAGGGAACAAATTTACTCATCCACTTAGTAATTTTTTTTTGGTTTTTGTTTGTTTTTGTTAAGTGTTTTACGGCGCTCGCAACTGCATAAGGTCACACCTAATATTTTCAGTTGGTAGGAAATTTTGAATTTTGCCCGGGTGGCGGCCGAAGCCTACTCTTATCGATTTTAGACCAC